AGCTCTGCCTCCCAGGTTCACACCATTCTCCTGCCTCAGCCTCATGAGTAGCTGGGACTACATGTGCCCGCCACCACATCCAGTCAATTTTTTTTTTTTTTTGTATTTTTACTAGAGACAGGGTTTCACCATGTTAGCCAGGATGGTCTCTATCTCCTGACCTCATGATCTGCCCACCTCAGCCTCCCAAAGTGCTGGGATTACAGGTGTGAGCCACCACGCCCAGCCTAAGCATCTTCTTTTAACTTTTGCATTTATGGGACGGTCCACAAACATTAAAACTGATAATGGTCCAGCTTATGGCAGCTCATAATTCCAACAATTTTGTCACATGTGGAATATCCAACATTCCACAGGTATCCCGTATAACCCCCAAGGACAAGTCATAGTAAAACATGCTCATTCCACTCTGAAAAATATGTTCAAAAAACAAAAAGGGGAGAGTATGGGTAAAGACCCTGCAACACTATTGGCACAAGCCTTACTTACCCTTAATTTTTAAAATTTAGATGATAAATTTCAATCAGCTGTAGAAATGCACTTTGCTAAAACCTCTCAAGACATAAAACCTGTAGTTTTATGGAAAGATGTGAACAATAATGTATGGTGTGGTCCAAATGAATTATTAACATGGGGAAGAGGGTATGCTTGTCTCCACACCCCCTCAGGTCCTCTTTGGATTCCAGCACGATGCATCAAACCATAGCATGGCATGGCTAGGACCCAGCCCTGTACCAGAAATGAAGAAAATAACCCTATAGGACCCACAGCCCCGGACAATGCACCTTCCTTGGACAACACAGGCCATGGACAGAATGCTGAAGAAGACAAGGCGGAATACTGAGCGAATCCTGTTCCGGACGCAGACACCATTCACTCCAGATAATTGTTCCTTACTGTGCTTTACTAATCTTTTTAAATTCTCTCACTTTACCTGCCACCTGTACCTGCTGCACTCTATTAAGCCTGTCTTCTGAATCTGCCTTTTTTCAGCCCTGTTATCTGGGCAGACACTCCCTTCCCAGCTTCTAACAACACGACTGCTTGGCTGGAAGGGGTTAACATACCCCCAGCGGGGCTCCTTAGTAACTGCACACACCAAACTGAAGTGCCAAGTAATGCCGCAGGTCACTCCTTGATTGGGAAAGAATGATGCTAATTATACTCATGATCGTCTTATGTTATTTGCTAATTCTAGGATGCAAAGCCAGAGTAAGAGCAATGACCGCCTTGCCGGACAGACCTGTTGCTGCACACAGCTGTACGCTTCAGTCAACAGAACCCAGTGCAAAAAACAGAAAAGGGGGAGACATGGGAGTTCAGTCCGGCTGGTGGGAAAAATATTAAGATGAAGTTATAGGATATAGACACAAACCTTGGAAGGCTGGAAGGTTTTGCAAAAGTTTCAGGATAGGGTTGTGGCTAAAAGCAGCCTAATCTTTACTTTGAGTTAACAGCTTGGGACACAGATACAAAGGAATGTAGAGTATTTTATCTAAATAGCTTGTTTACTCATGTGGTCCTAAGACCAACCTTTGGTCAACCACGGTGCATAATTGCTTTCTACTCGGGAAATCAGCAATGTCAATTACTCTCTAGTGGTGTTTACTCACACCTTTGTCATTTAATCTATACTGAATAAATGTGAGCTTCACTGGCTGATTGGTGGCTGCAACTCTTTATAGCACCTTCCTTGGTGTCTGTGAGTGGCCTGGACCGTCAACTGGACTGACAGGCAAAATATCTATGTCAATGTGCATCTCTCATCCGTTGCTGGGTCAGGATCTTTGGGTCAGACCCCTGTACACTTTCATGGCTAGAAAGGAGAGAATTCAATGCTTAGCTTCAAAGTTTCATAAGACACGCTGACTGTGTTAGGTGCTGATGCAGCTGGTGAGTTTAAGTGAAGCCAGTGCACATCTACCATTATAAAAATTGTAGGACCCTTAGGAATTATGCTAAATCAACTCCACCTGTGCTCTAGAAATGGACCAAAGCTGGGCTGATAGGACTTTTGAATACAGCATGACTTACTGAATATTTTAAGCCTGCTGTTGAGACCTACTGCTCAGAAAGAAAGATTCCTTTCAAAATATTACTGCTCATTGAAAATGCACCTGGTCACCCAATAGCTCTGATGAATATGGGCAAGGAAATGAATGTTGTCTACATGCCTGATAACACAACACTCATTCTGCAGCCCAGGGATCAACGAGTAATTTCTACTTTCAAGTCTTTTGGAAGGCTACATAGCTACCATAGATAGTTATTCCTCTGATAGAGCTGGGCAAATTAAATTGAAAATCCTCTGGAAAGGATTCACCATTCCAGGTACCATTAAGAACATCTGTCGGCCGGGCATGGTGGCTCACGCTTGTAATCCCATCACTTTGGGAGGCCAAGGTGGGTGGATCACATAAAGTCAGGAGTTCGAGACGAGCCTGGCCAACATGCCGAAACCCCGTCTCTACTAAAAATATAAAAATTAGCTGGGCATGGTGGGGCATGGTGGTGTATGCCTGTAATCCCAGCTACTTGGGAGGCTGAGGCAGGAGAATCACTTGAACCTGGGAGGTGGAGGTTGCAGTGAGCTGCCACTGCACTCTAGCCTGGGTGACGAGAGCAGAACTCCAAAACTCCACCTCAAAAAAAGAACATTTGGGATTCACGGGAGAAGGTCAACATACCAACATTAATGGGAATTTGGAAGGAGTAGATTCTAACCCTCATGGATGACTCTGAGGGTTTAAGACTTCAGTGCAGGAAGTCACTGCAGATATGATAGAAATAACAAGAAAACTAGAATTAGAAGTGGAACCTAAATATGTGGCTGAATTTCTGCCACCTCAGTATAAAACCTGAATGTATGAGGAGTTGCTTCTTATGAACAAGCAAAGAAAGTGGTTGAGGTGAAATATATTCCTAGTGAATATACTATGAACATTGTTGAAATGAAAAGGATTTAGAATATTACATAAACGTTGTTGATAAAGCAGTGTAAGGGATTGAGAGGATTGACTCCAATTTTGAAAGAAGTTTTCTGGTGGATAAAATGCTTTCAAACAGTATCATATGCTACAGAGAAATCTTTCATGAAAGGAAGTCAATTGATGTGGCCAACTCCATTGTTGTCTTATTTTAAGAGATTGTCATAGCTACCCTAGCCTTTAGCAATCACCACCCTGATCAGTCAGCAACCATCGACACTGAGGCAAAATCCTCTGCCAGCAAAAATCTTACATCTATATCTGAAGGCTCAGATGATTGTTATTTTCTAGCAATAAAGTATTCTTAAATTAAGGTATGCATATATATATATATATTTTACATAGTGCTGTTGCACACTCAGACTATAGTATAGTGTAAAGGTAAATTTTATATGCACTGGGAATCCAAAAAAATGTGTGTGACTTGCTTTATTGCAGTGGTCTGGAACTAAACCTGAAATATCTTTGATGTATGTCTATAGAAGCAAACACATACTGACTTCCTAGTTTTTGAAGTTCAACCCAGAGATTAGCAAGTTTGCAGAGCTCAAGTATTGAGCAAGAGTAGTTGTCATTCTCTGACCACCATATCATTATGGATTTGCAATTGGAAAGGTTCCAGTGAGTAAAAAGTTTCTTGATGATTGTGTTGTTAGATTTTCTTACAGAAAAGGATGAGAGAGAAAAATCTGTAAGTTAGCACCCCAGCAAGATAATGAAAGAAAATGACTTTTTCCTAAATGTATTTATTTTAAAAGATTAGTGAAGTAAGAGTGAGGGGTTTAGAGCTATATGGCTGGGGTTTGAGTTCCAGCTTTGCCACTTCCTGAAAGGTGCTCTCGGGTAAGTTACTTACCTGTGTCTCAGCTTCTTCCTTTGCAAGATAAAGTTATAAGAGTAGTATTTCCAAGAAAGAGTTACTGTGAAAATGGAATGAGGTTATACTCCTTATATGCTTAGAAAAATGCACAGCAGAAAGCCTCAATTCATTGAAACAATTATTTCTTCTACTTACCATAGATACAAGGTAATAATTGATAGCAATAATCATTGAATTCACTGAAAAACTTCACAAAGTATAAAGCTGATAACATACGTTTAACTCTTGGAAAATGTATTATAATTCTTCATGTAATGGTTAGCCTCAACTTTGGTAAATTAAAATCTGTTCTAATGCATGGGTCCTGCTAAGCAATGCTTTATGTCACACTGAGGTAGACCAAGAAAAATTCCACATAGTTAAGCACAAGAGAAAGGAACACTAATTTAAGACAGAAGATTAAGTATAATAGCATGATCCCAAATTTTGAGAGCTATGGAGAAATAGTGGGCTGGAGAGGAGACAATATCTGTGTGTAGGTGTGGAGAGGAAGAGGAGGAGAGAGTGTCAATTTAAAAAGATGTTCTGAGAAGGTTGGCTCGTCTCCCTAAGTATCTATCCAATGACCAGGAACCTCCTGCCACTGGATAACTAACGGAAAGATGGTGATTTTGTAATCTTCTGTGGATTGCCTCTGACGCAAATAAATGCATAAAAATCCTAAGTGTGTGAAAATGTATTTTCAAGATATTTGAAGTTAATCATTTGTTAAGAGAAAGATAACATCTTCATCTTGAGATTAAAGAAATAACTCAAATGATTACTATCTGAAGACATATTACTCTGTACTGAATTTGTGTTTCCCTCTGCCTCACAGACGATGCAATATCATCCTGAAAATATAGGTCTGGCTGATGTAAATTACATAGCAACCTGCTCTCAGGAATCTAGGAGCAGCCTATGAATTACAAAAGCATTGAAGCAATAGCAGTTTTCACTTTTTTTTGCAAGATGATCCTGATGAGGAAAGGTTTATCCTTTCACATAAAAGGGAGATAAGCCTCTTAAAATTACATAATTAAGAATAATCAATGCCGTAGGTTTTAGTATCCTTATCTACAGTAGCGTGCTTTATGAAGGTGGTAGTTTTGAGGGTGACAGAACTTTCAGTTTATATAACATAGAAAGATTACCTGTCCCAGGGATTGCCATTCCAAACCGGCACTGCCGATATACACGTGCTGTTTGTCCACGATCCAGAAGGAGGACTGCAGCCGGCCCTTGTTGTAAGCGGTCATGTTCATGTACGTCACCTCGGCTCCTAGGAGTTCAAGGAGAGTCTGGTCAGCCTCTGCGTCAAGCCCTGCCTGGGCTGTCAGTCACCTACCAGCGGCAATACTCATGGTTCATCATTTGTCCCAACTGACAGTTAGGAAAGCTAAATATTTATGTTAGTTTGGTGGAGAGAAGGGCCCCAAAGTATTATTTTGTTCCCTAAAACAAAGAACACTTAAAAAAAAAAAAAAAAAGAAAGAGAAAAGAAAAGCCAGGGGAAATGGCTTTTCCTTTGCATATGGCAGAGGAGGTTTTGTACATAGTGACAAGACCATGGCTTCTCAACTCAGATCTGTACTGAAATCCTAGCTCCACTTACCATCTGGATGGTGAGATAGGTACACCATATGCAGTTTTCTTTTCTGAGTAATTTTAATACAGTTTTCCACCAATATAAGAATCAGTCTTGTTCAGTGTCACAGCTCTCCTCAATAAGACGTTGGCCTTATTATGCTTTCTATACATTTTTCATCCTGTGACGCTTTCACTGGCCTTTACTTCTTCGTTCCTTCCCTTTATTATTTAATCTGAGTTTGGTCTCTTCTTCGTCTTTATCTGATAGCTTTTTATTTATTTATATTTTATTTTATTTTTGAGACAGAGTCTCATTCTGTTGCCCAGGCTAGAGTACAGTGGCGCAATCTCGGCTCACGGCAACCTCTACCTCCCAGGTTTAAGTGATTCCCTTTCCTCAGCCTCCTGAGTAGCTGGGATTACAGGCGTGTGCTACCACACGCAGCTAATTTTTGTACTTTTGGTAGAGAGGAGGTTTTACCATGTTGGCCAGGCTGGTCTTGAACTCCTGACCTCAGGTGAACCACTCGCCTCCGACCTTCCAAAGTGCTGGGATTACAGGTACCTGACAGTTCTTAATTTAAGCAATGATTATTCAAGCTTTACTGAAATGCCACCTTGAATGGTTAACTAAGTAACTCAGACTATTGCTAACGCCAAAAATATATTTGAAGAGCGAAATGTGACCAATTGCTTTAGGCTTTATGTGGTAGGATCCAGTGTCAAGCCTTTATGTATTACTGCCTCGAATGCATTTACAAACCTCTCAAAAGGATCATACGGTCCATTTAATGCAAGGGTATTTACATAAATTTCTCCTAAAGGTCTATTCCCATTAAAAGAACAGACCTATATGCATATATTTAATGAACTAAGCTATTCTGTCTTCAGGTATTCATTATTAATGAAGACACTGTATTCCAGGGGCACACTTCATTGTCACAGTCTTCATTACCAGAGGCACGCATAAGACTGTATGCAGAAGGATACATTTCAGCCTATCAGAAAGGAAGGAGAGTAATTTACACTATGAACCTAATGCTTAACTCTTAGGAAAATGTAACCATGCATCTAGCTTCCTTGTGGCAGGAGGATGAAAAGAGATGTTACGAGGTTGGGAGAGAATCTCTGAGGGGAAGCCAGCACTCAGGCAGATTTTCTCTGAGGGTAGAGCAGTTTCTTTGTCTTACAAGCAGCGGGCACATGTTTCTCTGCCTCCAGCCATCCTGGAATAGTAACATCCAAGAAAGAGCTGCAGATCCCAGAGGAGGAACTTGGGTATGGCAGAATCTGAATGTCCAAAACGGGTAGTTACCCAGGCAGGTATGGAGAGACCCAAATCTGCATGGAGGTGTGGCCGGCCCCACAGACACAGCCGCCAGTGCTCCTCAGTAGATAAACAGGAAAGACAGTAAGTGGCTTCACAGTCTGCCCAGGGCCAGGGATCCCTGTACGAAAGCCAGCAGAGCTGTGTGTAGAGATCAAGCAATATGTAATGCTAGTAATCCCCATTTATTGAATACCTGTGCGCCCAGTGCCAAGATAGCTACGTTACAACAGTCTTATATGGCATGCTTCATTTTCCCTGTTTTAGGACACAATACATTCCTGTATGTGGTGTAAGAAAATCCACTGAAAATATTTATGATACATCTGAAAAAATGTATATTTTTGCCTATGGTTCATGGACTATCACTTCCCCATTACAAATGATCTGTTTTTCTATCTAAATATTGATGCTCCATCTATCTCTGAAGACATATGCTTTCATCTTTATTAATATCTGGATATATATATTTAGTTATGTCTAACATGTCCCTCAGTTTATTCGATATTTTACTTAAGAGAATTTATATTTACAGGCACTTTTAGAATATATTTGTCCATTGGTTATAGAAATAATCTTCATCCTATTGGGTCTTTATGTAATATGTATTAGGAAGCGATGGTTAAAATACAATGCTGTCTGACTACAAAACATATTTAATGATTAAAAAGTATATAATATGCCACTTACTGCATTTGTGTGCACAACCTAAATTTGAGTTTATTTTATATTGTTGTGTTAGAATTGCAATTAGCAAAGGCATGCAATACAGGCCTGAACATTTAGATAAAAGGGTAGAGTAATATTTCTGTTTTTCATGCATTATATTTATGCAAATACAGACAATATAATAAATAAATCAAATTCTTTCCATTTACATTAAAAATTTGACATATTTTTATAGGAGCGATAACTTTAATTTCTACTTCTAAAATCATTTTAGGCTTTTTCTTACAATGTTGCATATTTAAAAAAATGTGTAGAATGCCATAGTTTTATAAGCACTAACAGAAACACTTCAGTTTTTTTCTATAGTTATTTTTATGACCCAGAAAACAGGGATCCTACATATTAAAGAGTTATTATGTTAAAATGACAGCAAGAGCTATGCATAAAAACCATGGAGTAATTTATGAGATCTGCTCATCAATATTCACGGTGGTTATTCAAGCTTAGCATCCACATGCAAGAGAATGCTGAAAAGCAGCCCGTTTGTCCTATTACTGTTTTCATTTTCTCCATGGGAATCACCAACTCACAAGAAACCTTTTCTAAAATTCTGTGCTAGATTATTCAGAGCCAACAAAGGCTTTGCATTACCAAATAGTTAATATGTTCAAAACTAATATGTAGGTGACAGTTTTTAAATCCAGTACCATTAGAAAACCACAGGTTTCAAGAAAATCATTTTCTGTTTATATTAAGGTACAATTTACTTGTAGTAAAATTCACCCTTTTGAGCATCTAAGGGTTTTGAAAGATCGTCATGTGACCATCACCACAATCAGAATGAAAAACAGTGTCATCCTCGCTAGGCTTCTTTTGCAGTGACTTCCTCTTCAAACCCCAGCCCTTGGCAAACACTCATCTGTTTTTTTTTGTGTGTGTGTGTGCCTATAGTTTTGCTTTTGTAAGAATGTCATACAAATCGAATCACAGAGTATGCAGCCCTCTGAATCCTGCCTCTCACTTAGCATAATGCATGTGAGACCCATTCATGCTGTTGTGTGGAACAGTGGTTTCTCTTTGCTGTTGAGTGATATTTTATTGTATGGAATGCACTACACACAACGCATGTGAGACCCATTCATGCTGTTGTGTGGAACAGTGGTTTCTCTTTGCTGTTGAGTGATATTTTATTGTATGGAATGCACTACACACAACGCATGTGAGACCCATTCATGCTGTCGTGTGGAACAGCAGTTTGTTTCTCTTTGCTATTGAGTGACATTTCATTATATGGAATGCACCACATATAGCACATGTGAGACTCACTCATGCTGTTGTGTGGAACAGTGGTTTCTCTTTGCTGTTGAGTGATATTTCATTGTATGGAATGCACCACACACAATGCATGTGAGACCCATTCATGCTGTTGTGTGGAACAGTGGTTTGTTTCTCTTTGCTGTTGAGTGATATTTCATGGTACGGAATGCACCACACGCAATGTACGTTAGACCCATTCATGCTGTCGTGTGGAACAGTGGTTTGTTTCCCTTTGCTGTTGAGTGATATTTTATTGTATGGAATGCACCACAGTTTGCTTATCCATTCTCCAGTTGAGAAACATTTGGGTAGTTTCCGCTTACTGGTGATGACAAATAAAGCTGCTGCAAACACTCATACATACATTTTTGTGAGAATGTAGTTTTCATTTCACTTGGGTAAATACCTAGGAGTGAGATTGCTGAGTCATATGGTAAATATATGTTTAACTTTATAAGAAACTGCCAAACTGTTTACCCGAAGCGTCTGTACCAGTTTGCATTCCCACCAGCAATATCTGTTAGTCTAAGTCATTCTGTATTCTTGCCAGAACCTGGTACTACATTTATATAAAGTTTTTCCTTTAAATATTATACACTTCTGAGATCAGAAAATATCTTTAAATCTGGCTTGATTTAATTAAATATATTTTTAAAACAGCTTTGAAAGTATATTAAGTATGATTAACCATTTTTTGCTTTTATAGATTTCTTTTCTAACAGGAAAAAAATATGTGTCAGTTTCTCTGTGTGCAGCCCCTGATTCATTGCCCAGAGACCTCCGGATGTCAACCGAAAGATGCGTACATCACAACGTGATGCGTCAGGACCATGGCCTAACGGCTGTGCACAGCTGCTGGTGATGGGTCCAGATCTCTGCAGATCCTCCTGCTTTCAGCTCCACACTCTACTTAATTGATGATTAATGGGCATTATTAGTAACTCAAAATAATGTTTTTTGATGCCAAAACCAAAAGTGGTGAGAGTATATACTTCTTTCTATTGTTGCTTTATAAAATACGTTCATGCTATCCATGCTGTCCTAATTAAATCTTAAACAACAAACAAGGCTAAGATTCAGAATTAGAAATGTTAAGCTACAAATATGCTAACTGATGATGTGAAAAGTCTGGTCCCAGTTGGTCATACTAATCAAGATGAAGTGATGTGGCTAACCTCCAGGTTTCACACGCTTCTTGGGAAGTCAAATGTTAAAAATCAGGAAACTCCAAATTACTCATTCCAACTCCTTTGAGCTTTAACAGAGATGCTTCATTGAAATTTAATAGAGAATGTTCCTGGTTTTGGAGGGGTTCTGTTTCTTTACTAAATTATTCTTATGGTATTAACCAAAATACTGCATTTTATTGTGTGCTTACA